GGGGGGGGGGGGGGGAAGAGCGAAAGAGGAGAAAATCGAGCTGGAACTTTAGTCAATTATGGAAAATTGACTTTATCGACGGGGCAAGAGAATATTTTGAAATACGGAAAAATATTGCATATTTTGCCACCCACTCAGACCACCCTTATCACCCTTTATCACCTATTCCTGTCCCACTGACTAGCACGGCGATTCTTAAAAAGAAATACGATAAATATCTACCTTCGTCACTGATTGTATTCTGCATACCAGGCTCGGAATTGTCATCCATCTTTTTTTATTTTATCCTTTTACATTTCTACTCGAATAAACGTCATTTTCAATTCTGTTCTTTACATACTCGATATGCGCTTTTCATTTTAATGAACTGAAAGGAAATCCCTGTTCGAGGAGATATATGTATGCATTAAGGGTAGCTTCAATAATAATATTGTACACGTCGCAGAGAGTGAGAAAGGGGGTTAGTTAATTTTTACAGGTAGAAATCGATAGAAAAAAAAAATATTTCCTCTTCCATGTCTGACCAATTTTTTTTTTAACAATTGGCAAGGGGGGCGGATAAAACAGAACAGAATACATCATACTTTGTATTCTGTCAAGACGTAAGGCGCTTTTGACAGCAACTAAAAAAAAGAAACAAGACAACCCAACAGGTTGACATGTGTTAGACAATAGGAGGCAGGGACGTCTGAAGTCTGGATGTGACGTCAGAATCAGGAAGCCAGCGAACATATATAGTAATACTCGAGTGTATATCATTGTCAATACATATGTTCACTGTGTGCACAACTGCGAGTGTAATAATCAGATACGATGACGGATGACGGCAACGATCGCGAGTGAGATGAAGCAGAAAAAAGAATATGTATAGTAAACGAAAAAAAAAAAAAAAAGGCATAGGCACTTAAGAAAAAAATTTCAATGTCTCGAACTGTGCTTGAAAAAAACAGGATTGACGTAATAAAGAGACGAAATTGTAAAAAAAAGATAATGAAAAAAAAAAATAAAAATCCAATACCAGTACTGTTATTAATTTTTGTATTCCCCGCTATCGATATCGACTACGTCGACTCAATATAATTTTCAACTAGCGACTTGCTACTGTCGCTTCGTGTAATACCGACCTAATGGCAAACACGAGCGACCCCATTGTACCAGAATTGTATCATAACATCGTATCTACCCGTAGCGATAACGAATTACCACTTGAAGCCCGTATGACGCGGACTGGGCCTGAACTAGGTTTACACTGTACCCCATTCGCTATTTAATGCTGGCTAATAATAGGTTACGATAAGTCTCCGTACACCCGGTACTACTGATCTAGTGGTTCAAGCAAGTAAATATACAGACAGTACAGTGATACCCATGTTGAGCCGATCGGTAAGCAGACGAGTGCTACTGGTCTAATGAAACGTTAACAAAGTCTATTATAATCGTAATCGAGAAAATAAATAATTTTTATCGATCGGGAGTGATAACGAAGTCTCTTATCAGCGGCACGATTAAGGCGTAGTTAGATCATTAAAGTCACAATATGAATAATAGTGTTGAATAAAAATTTGCATTAGTGACGTATGATTTTTTTTTTAATTTTAATTAATTTTTTTTTAGACTCAAATTTTAATAAACGAATTTCGTATAGGCAAGTCAACCGGTAAATCTTCATGCGAATGCTCCTTCAGGTCTCCTGATTCTCTTTATGAACCTACCTACACTCTTCCTCTCCCCCACTTTTCTCCATATGTACCACAGACTATGCTATATGGGTTTACGAGCGCCAATACTGTTCTCTGGCTAGAAGCAACGTAGCGATCTGACTGTACGTATAGTGATATGGGAACGCGGCAACGTTACAAAAGCAGAGAAGCGGCGAAGGCGTGTGGCCTGAGATAACACGTTTTGATGCCATAAGCAAGGTCCATCCCTGCCGAGTATAGAAAGGAAGATAACGCGTTATCGGGAGCGTTTTGTTATCGTAGACCCAGGTTAGGGCCTCCCCGAGAGTTTCCGGTCGATTTTATGAGAAGTTTTGAACGCAGAATTTTGTCGCTTTGAAAATTGAGATTTTCTTCCTTTCTTTTGGGTAAAGGTGGTAAGGATTATTTTTTTACTTTGTATTTTTTTTTTTCTTTATCGTTATGATAGTGACAATTACGGTTTTTTTTTTATTGCTTATTCATCTGCTTTTACTTTGTCTCATCCGGGCTTTCGGTTGAATGCGTTGTCGCTTTTCTTATTGACATTGACTGTACCAAGAGAGTTGAGTGAAAATAAAGGAAAGTTACATTTTCACATGCTTACGTGCAATGTATACTATTATTGTTATAGCTCGTCTTATTATATTCCCTTATGTGTTTTTACTGCTCATTAGCTGCACATATTTTCCGAGTCTTATTACCTCTTTGAAAAATCACAAATTTTTTATTTTTTTTTTCTAATTCTGTGAAAATCACGAAAATTATCTTTAAATTCGTTCAATGAAAAAGTTCAGTGTGTCGAAGGCATTTTGAAAATTTTCTATCGTCTCGACGGTATCTCAAAATTGATAAAAATACATAGCAAAGCACTGACTTGTAAATACCTATAAGGATATAGCATACAAGTATATAAAGAATGAATGATAAAAATACTACAAGGAATTCACGTTAGAGTTAATACGAATAGACTTTAGATTCGCTAAGTTAAGCGAAAGCACGAATCAAATGCCTCTAATTTTAATTCTTCAAGTCACTAGACTGTTATCGGAAATTTGACTGTCACTCGAAAATTGTATAACTCAACTTGGGTCTGATAACGAAAACTATACGTTCTACTGTAGTTCGACAAACCCCTAACGAAATGCCCAATATACGGCAAAGCGAATAAGACGCTAGAAATTGGAAAAATGTTTGGCAAAATTGAATCAGAAAAGAATTGTTGCAAAGAGTGACATTAAATTTTATTTAATTTATCTAGCCCAACCTGGCGAGTGTAATTCGATTTAACAAAAGCAAATCACCCGACAACTAGAAATAATTCGAAAAAAAATTCAATAAAAAAAAAATTCTAATAAGATTAAAGTATCAATTGTAACGCCGAGAGGGAAGCCATTAATCTACACTAATTAGTCGTTCGAATTCGAATTGATTGACACCACCTAATTACAGACCCCACAACAATGCATCCAATTCGAAAATATTTAATTACAAAATCAGCACACGCAATACCAATAGCCCATTCCGATTGCGTGAAATTTCATCCGACAGAAGTCGCGAATAAAATTGTAATTAATTTATGGCCGAATGTTAATTTATTTCACGATATTTTTGTCGATCCTCTATATTTATCATAAAACAAATTTTCCCCCAAGTACTCCTGGCATTCCTATCTACATAATCATCCCGCACCGATCTACACGTTTATATCTCGTACTTACTTATGTACTATATATAGATATATAGAACCACGGCTTAGATACGCAGCTATGCGCGTTTCACGAATTCAGATTTGCCACGAGTTTCGGTTGAGCCGTACCAATCTAAACTACATTAAAGTTCAATCACGGGTTTCGTGGTGGTGAGTAGCGAGGGATTTGGGATGGTATAGAAGAGAGAAAGAGAGAAAGGGAGCGAGAGAGCGATAAGTAAGTTAAAGAGAGACAGATACGAAAAATCATAAAAAACTTAAAACGACAAACAGACGAAATCATTTCTCGAGCAAAACGTAAAAATTTCATTGAATTACGTTCCTAATCATAATCCGTAATTTTATGAAGGATTGGATCGATCAATCATTCATCGAACTCGCTACGTGACCAGAACGCGAAAAACTATCCGTACCGTACTTAAAGTCAGGTACCATACGGACACCCTATATAAACCTGCTTTTACATCATTCACCTTTTTTTTTTCCTTTTTCGGAGCATCTCAACCAATAGCGAACGCCATACACGTTTCTCTGATATCCCCGTGAGAATTTCCGAACGACATTTTTTTTTTTCTCCCGATAGCACAGATAAGACAAACACGTCAGCCCATTGATAAGAGAGCCAACCAATCGTCCGGGATGAATTACCAAAGCGTTCTAAAAATCGAGTAAATCACGTTTAAAATGCAAGAGCAACGTTTTAAATCCAGCCCCAGTACTTTTACCATAGATCAACGAAATAACGGCCACGAGGAAACGCTCGATATATCAAAGTAATGCGACTTCGGGTCGTTGGGATCGGGCGCGGATAATACGTGGGAGATAAGAGACGAAGAGAGGTAAGTGCAGGAGACTGATGAAAAACAAGAGTCTCTAAGCCCAGTTATTCCCGTATCTGGAGGTCACTGACCTTGAATCGAACTTGGTACCGTCCTTCAAGGTCCCGGTGTAATGCATAGTCAGCTGATCACCCTTTTTCGACTTGACGTCACAAACTTCGGGCACGTAGACATTCTCGACCTTCAGCTCATCGGGCTCGGCCCGAACGTCGAGACTCGCAAGAGTCGCGATTACGAGGCACGTCGCGAGCGCGTATAAAGTCGTTGTCGCTGCGTTGCGGGTCATGTCTGAACGGTGGCGGCTGCCGGCGAGAACTGAAGTGCCGATGCTCTATCGTTCGTGGCGTTGAGGTCGACGGCGGTGGGTAGCGGCAGTCGCGCCCGTACACTTTCATGGAGATACGCTATAAGCCCCGCGTCTGTGTGCCCGGCGATGCGCGCTGGCTCTGTGCGCCGCGGTACCAGACAAGCGTCGTTTCCCAAAGAGGTGGAGGAGAGGAGAAAACGCCACATCGCGCCGTCTCATTGGCCCCTCTTCGTGGAATCTAGGCCTCCGCGTTAGCTCGGGCTATCGTACGGCTCTTTCGTGATGGTTGATGTCATCGCTTTCATGACGCTCGCTGCCGATGGTGGGGAAGAGGCTGACCAAGACCACATTTTATGATGACCTCGAGGAACGAGAGCGTGAATATCGGACGTGGCCGAAACTCATTGGACAATCGAAGAGCATAGGACAAATACATTTCGTACGATACATTGACGTATATATGTTTTTCAAAAAAATTATTTTCCAAAAAAATTTTTTTTTTTCAAAATTTTTCGTCCGTAATAATATTTCTACTCGTGACTGAGATGTGTATTTTTCGTTACGCATATGTATTCTACGATTTATTTTTGAGACTGACGGAACGGGATCCGGTGACTTTTGAAAATTTTATACCTGTTTTCTGACACAGGGAAAAATGATGGAACGGAATGAAATACGGTTTGATAATGTGGAAACGTATTACTTAAAGACAGTAGCGATGTTTGCTGATATTTTAAGTAAGGAAAATGGCAGATCTCTTGAATTTGACATCCTTCTATTACGTTGGCAACCTGTATAGTCCATATGTTAGGCTCGAGTTACGTGCTACGTGTGATCGAGATTTCGTATAGGAAATTGGAGCCGTCTGTGGCCTCTTCGTTAAGTGACGTGTGCGGCTTATCCAGGCACACATATGGTTCGCTGTAAATTGTGTATAAAGTAAGATTTTAACGTGGATCGAAATATTTATAAATAATCGACGTAATAATTGCATGGATAAAATTTAATTCGTATTAATAAAAAAAATGAAAATATAAAAAAAATATCGTCGTATAGCCATTCAAATTTCCCGCCAAATTGTATTTTTTTTTTTTTCAAAAGTTCTTTCTCTCTTAAAAACTAATCTTCGCGACAAGACACCCGCCATATAAATTATCTATGGTGTCTGAAGTATTGCGTGAAATTTCCACTAACGGGCAACCTCGCCCCCCTACGATCCTCCCCAACGCCAAATGCAGCCATTTCCGGGCACTTTTTAGATTGCCGCGATATGTCGCCCGGGACATAGTAAAGGAAGCCAGAGTGCGACAGAACGAAAGTTCTATACTCGGCAAAAAGCACACACGTGCAGTGTGACATAAGGAAAGCGATTTGCAGCTGACGCGTCCATGTGTCAGCGGGTGTGAACCCAGCCTAACCATGAGAGGAAGAAGGATTTATATACTTAGCCTGGCCGTATTAGAGAAGGTGGCAGAACAAGCTAGTGTAGACAGTGGAGAAGAAAATTTTTTGAGATGATAGGTTTTTTTTTTTCGAGATTCCTAAAAACTTAGGTGATCCATGTAGAACGTAAAAATAAGGTGAAATGTGCGAATAGACTATAAAATAATACAAAAAAAATTATTCGCCGTTTTATTATTTATGAGGTAACAGCACGTGACGAGTATGTATAAGTAATGATCGACAATTACCGTACGATCTTGCGTGCGATAAGTGATTGATAAAGGAATCGATTTTTTAATCAATTATCGATCAAAATTTTTCAATGTAAATACTGTGATAAATAATGAAGAAAATAAGTTTATTGAAAGAAGTGGGAAAAAAAATTATCAATATTTTAAGATGCAATTTCGTCTTGCGTGCCAAAGTCTTATTTGAAGAGGAAATTTTCAAAATAAATGATTTCTGTCTGACTTTAATTTTAAACTCATATTTATTTCACTAGATAGCTCTGCTAATAGTGCTAGGAATAATTTAAGATACAAAGAATTAATAATTCTCACCACATGTATTAAGAGATTAATGGATTGAATATTGAAATGAATTTCAAGCAGACCCTCAATCTTGGAGATACACGTAGGTTGGGTAATACAGCTATATATATAGAAATTTTGATATCAATATTTATGTAGATGGTAATCTCCAGTTATCTGATTCCGGGCAGATTGATTTTACCCGGTGATTGCGATAACGTTTATTTCAATGTACGTTCGCAAAGCGTACGTTCAACGTACGTTGACGTTCCACATGGAAATTTTATTGGTACGGTAAATCCTGTGTATGCGCAGGGGGTAAAATAATAAAAAAAAAGAATTCCAGTAGTAGAGAGTATCCCATAGATACGTAATATAAAATTTCGTTTGTTTTCGTTACATTAAACTCCACATGTTGTAATGGGATTTTGTATCCTGATTATTGCTCGTTTATGCGTTGCGAAATGCGTGCTTCTGTAATGGCGTCGTTTCCGGGGAAAAACACGGTTGTGCGCATGCGCAAACAATTGTCCATATACGTGCATACATACGGCTGGCAGTACCTAGACAAATAGTTAGACCGCGTAATGCGCACTTGAGCCAGTTAGAGCTTCGTAGATAACCGAACTGTTTCCAAGCATGCGGGATAGGTTAAGGGAAAACAGGAGCGAGCCTGGGATTCCCATGGGGAGTTATGCGCCAGGAAATACACATCTGCAAATTGCACAGTCATCCGAGAAACCGGATGCCTTTCGGGTGGGCGCTATTATTGCGGTTTTGAAAAAAATTGCTCAACCACTCGAATTGCGAAGTATTATCTTGATAGGATTTTTTTTTATTTTCAAGTCTGCGACGAGTTTGGATTTATGCAAAATATATGAATTAATTGTAAATGTATTTTTTTTTTTTTTATATGAATAATCTTGTACACAAGTGCGGGCGATAAATTGTTGTTTTTCTTTTTCGTGTCAGATTTTAACGGTCTGCACGACTGTACGAGGTCGAGTATCGGTTTTAGGCGATATCGAATTAATTTTATTTTCATGTGAGCGACAGCAGTCGCCTTATTAATTTTATCTAATTATTTGCCGACTTGTTTTTTTCGCCTAACCTAACAATCTGCCGCTTGCGTTCACACTGTAACTCATTATCGTTATGGGTGCTGGTAGTTCACATGGAAATAAAATCTTATCTTGATATAATGATACGTGTACACGTATGCGTGTACAAGGAAAAAAGATAACACTAATGTTAATGTACAGGAAGATTTTTATCTGATAATTGTTTGAATTTTATTTTTATTTATTTTTTTTAAATTATCTTGATCGGATATGAGAAATATGTTTTCTTTTAAATTTAAGGGGAGCAAGATAAGTTACACTTTCTATGGCGTTTGGGATAATTGTATGTGTGTATACTGTACACGTGAATTTCTATGCGACAATGGGTTATCTTTGATAAGATAAAGAAAAATACAAGCTCCAAGATAAAACGGACATATCTTTGAAATTGTCCTGGCGAATTTCACGTTGCTTTTTCGTGGCACCGTTTTAATTAGTCGTCGCGACGACCTAGATTTCTTTTTTCAATGTGTACAAAGATACGCCTGTGTATGAGATGTGTAAATATGAAAAAAGAAAAGTGTAACGTTCACCAAAAGGATGAAAGTTGCCTGGTCGGAAACTCGAACGTGGATTTCTCCAGAAGTCGAATGATCATGACGATGACTCGGGTAGATTTAAATTTACCGCCATTATCCTTAATAAGATTTGGGTCAAGTTCGAGGTCAAGTACAGTATTAAATGTAATTTTCGTTTTTCTATATATAGATAATTATTATCTAAACGGGTCAGATAATTATTTGATAAAAAAACATCTTGCTGATTTTATTACGAGAAATCATTTAGTCTGACATAATTAAAGGCTTGTAATGACTTAAGTAATTAGTCGAGGGGACGTTGAGTGGAATTTGATTGACTTAAGTCACAGCGGACTCTGTTTATATTGTTATTATTTTATTAATTTTAATTTCATTAAGCATATATTTATTGCAATACGTAATTAAATCATTTTCCAGAATTACCCCAATGCTTCGTACCCAAGTGTCTATATGATTTAAAATCTAGGTACAGTCGTGTCCAATAATAAGAACGATCATTCTGGACCTGGAGGGTCCCAATAGATTTCTTAAAAAACCGGTACGCCCCGGTCAGTGACCTTAGAAACAGGTTTCAATAGTTCAAGAGACAATAATTCTCCCGTCTCATTAAAGATAACTCTGAAAAATTCGAAAAAAGAAATATTACTCAATATCACCAGAAAAATTTTATTACCTTCTTTACAACGTTAGGTTAGGTTATGACTATCAGTGATGTAGATTACTTTCACTTATTTTCCAAAAGATCGCGAGTGACGAATATTTTCACGAAAATGACTATTAAACCCAGTTCCACTTTCCTTCGGTTTCACGTTCCACGTTCCGCATACCCAGGGAACGTATGAGCCACGACAATCGTCCTGTTTACGGTAATCGTCGCCCCGAGGTTGACGGTGAAAGTTGACCTGGGTGAAACTTTCACTCCTCACCAAGAAGAAGACCGCTAATGGCCGTCCGATCTTCATTGCTGTCAGTTTGACTTAATAACAAAGACCGACAGTGAATATCGATTTCTTATCACCGAAACCCAAATGATAACTGACACTTCCGGTTTTCGCAAAATTTGTTTAAAATTTATATTCCCTCAAAAACAAAAACCACCCAGCGTTTCAAAAATTTATAAAAATTAATGACGTAACCATCTAATTTATTTCAAAATAAATTTTTTAATAAACGATATCCGTATCTCGTACAATTTAAAAAAAAAAACACACAAGATAAAATTTCTATCAAATTATTTTCGTAAATTTTCAACGACTCCAATCTAGACGCTCTACAATGAAATTTCAATAATTCCTTTTGTTTCATATGTCGAGTCCAGCATCCTCGTTGAGTCTCGTTTCATCTGTCCGACTATGCAAGGTACATTTCCACTTTGTCAAGCATATTTACCGACAACAAAACCGACTGGAGCAGCCAGTGCAGGCATACCTAGAAATGCATTCCTGGCCACTGCATCCTGTTGCGCTATATATAGCCAAGAGAGGGAGAGAAAGAGAAAAAGAGAGATTCAGCGAGAAAGAGAGAATATTGGTCCATATAATCCAAGCAGAGTTAACGCAAGATGAAATTGAAAGCATACCGATCTTCTCCTCTTACCAGCTTAATATATATATATATTTATACGTCTGTACACACATGTACACATATGAGACTGGTGACAATGAAATTTCTCACCCAGAACACAATGGCCTCTGCTTGTTTCACCGTTAGCTCAGAAACGACTACAACTACGGATAATGTACACATATGCGCAAAATGACACGTCCTGTCCATATATACGGTAATGCACACATGTCACACACGGTATACGTGATACATATGCCGTTATATGGCATGGTCAATTTTCTACGACAATATTGACATTTAACGAACAGACTATAGGTACGTGACGACCGGAGAGAAATATTTCTGTGGACCAGAAGGGGATGGACAGTCTCACCCCCCCCCCCCATTTCAATATCGAAAAGGAGGGTTGAATCCGGTTCCAATATACTCGATTATACGGGTGATGATTAAGTCTTACGGAAGACGGGTTGTAGACGGGAGAAGTAGTTTTTTTTAAGGGTTGTAGACACAGGGAAAATCGAGTTAGCTGACAGACACCTTATATGCTGTTTAATATCGAGTCGTTCTTTGATTTTTCAGAATGATAAATTTTTTCTGCGCTTGGATAAACTAGGTACACGTGCATTACGGTTGTATCTGTATATAGTGAAATTAACGCGTACAGAGTATATTTTGTTGGTTCGTATGCTTTACATGTATAGGCAGACTATAATTTCTGGTCGCTTCTGAATGAAAGTGTTTGCCTGTCAGAGTTACGATGAACGAGCTTGTTTCGAAACTTTATTCGCTTTCTCTACGTCCTCGTTGAGACATTTGCGCGACGTGGATATACTCGGTTCGCGTATACTCCTGGTACCAACCTAATATAAGTACAACGCTCGTTCTGTACGTTACTGTGTATGTATGGAGAAAATAAACGGGGGTACCAAACGTGATGGAGAACATAAAGTACGCTTATGGAAATCAAGAAGGTGGGACCGGGG